CTTTTAAATCCTCAAGACAGGATATCATTTCCAAAACTGTTTTAAAGAAGCAATCTCTTCTTTATCTTTCCCGAAATAACAATAACACCTTAAAACTATCAAAATAGTTTTACCATCCTTTCTTCAAAACCAACATCAAAACTCATAGTATATGTTAGGACTGAAAAATCAGTGTTAATTGTATTCGTCTTGAAAGATTAACTCTAGTCTATAATTGTAAAGTCAGCGTGTTTGACTTTCTTAGACTAGTTTGACTTTGACTTTGTTAGTTAGGTTGACCATATAAATATGGTTTAATCTTTGTAATTAGAAGGTGAGGAGCTTAATTGTAATATTCAGATTAATAATAGAGGTTTGACTGAATTGAGAGGATTGACTTTTTCTCTCAAGGATCTTAAAGTTCTTAATGTCATATTCTAGATCTGCCATCATGATTATGAAGAGGAAAAGAAATTGATCAGTGTTATTGTGGACACACAATTGGTATCAGAGCTGGAATGCAAGAAATCGGATGAAGAATTTGAAAGATAAGTGATTTTAATTTCTGAATTTTTTTTCGTGTTCTTGGTTTTTCTTCGTGTTCTTGGTTTTTCTTCGTTTTTGATCTGATTTTTCCATAAAATCTTGTGTTTTGATGTTAAAAACATGATCAATATGTTCGAAATTGAATTGTGAATCTTTGTTATTCACAAATTTTTGTGATTTGATCAACTTTTATCAAGATTTAATCGATTTTTTGTGTTTTAAATTTTTTTTGTGTTCTTAATTTTTTTTTCTTCGTAAATCAGTGTTTTGATCCATTTTTTTTAAATTTTCTTTTTAGTTTTTGTGTTTTTATGAGTTTTAATCTGTTTTTTTTTTGTTTGAATTTGTTTTATCTTTGTTTGAATTTGTTAAAATGTGAAAGGCCCAAAATTCATTTTAAGCCCAATTTTGTTTTAACCAGACTCTCAAACTTGATTCATGTGGTTTTCTTCTACTTGAGCGGATAAGAGATCTTACACAAATTGAAGAGGATCACCACACCTTGTGAAGCTTGAAAGGAGAAGGTAAACCGTGAGATTCACCGGAGAAGGCTTGACCGGTATTTCAACCGGTATTCATCTACACCGGTCATTACTTGATCGGATTAGGGGTTCTGATTCGTTCAGCACGCAAGGTTTCTTGAGCGGTATTCTAAACCGCACGCTACTTGACCGGATTTCAAGCTACACCGGTCACCCCTTGATCGGAGAAGGGTTTACACCGCTCACTTCTTGAACGGATTCCTTGAACAGAGTAGTACACCGGTCAGTTTCAGGTAAGTATAGGGTAAATCTATTGATCTGTTGTCCGGTTTACTAAACCGCTTGCCGATGTTTCAATGTGAAATTTACTAAATGCTTCAATATTGTTCAATTTCTTGATATGAATTGATTGCAATTTTAGCAGCAGCAGTATTGTGTGTGTGTGGGACAAGGAGTCATTGAGAGATCACGGCTTGATCAGATTTTTTAATACTTCTACTGCTTCTTCCTCAGTTGCTGTACCTATTGCTGCTGTTTAAATTGTCTCAACAGTCTTGACAGGTGACAGGTTTGTGAAGCAGATCTTAATTTTTGTAACCAGCTTGCAGGTTGCAAACAGCAGCAGCCTAACAGTTTGTGAAGCTACACTTAAATCATTTACAGCAACAACTTCACAGCAACAGCTTCACAGCAACAAGTTTTTTTAAGCAAACTGTGACAGCAAAGAACAGCAGTGTGAAACAGATTTATAGTATTGCTGTCACAGAAACTGTGGTAGTCTGAAACAACAGCTCGTTTTGTTTTGTAACAGCAACCACATTGAAACAGATTGGTTACATTTTGATTTGGTTCATTTTGATTCATTTGGTTTCAGCTAAACAGATTGGTTACAGCAGCTACATAGATTTGAAACAGAAAGTTTAAGTGACAGTAGCAGGTTTAAAACTTGATAGCTTCAAGCTGTGACAGATTTAGACAGGTTTAAAATTTGTTTTTACAAGCTGCACAGGTTGAAAACTTGTTTACCAGATGCACAGGTTGTTGTTGTAATACCATAATTGAATATACAGCAATCTGCTGTTTGTTTGTTTAACTAAAGCTAGACAGAATTGAAGCAGTTGCATCAACCACAGTGGAAAGCAGTTGCATCTATCATCATTTGCATATGTGAATCTTGTGTATCATCAAAATTAAAGTTACTATCACAAGTTTGTTGTGTAAAGATAGTTCATTAAACCATTGTGATTCTTGTTTGCTGTTTGCTGTTTGGTGCAGTAGTAAGAACAATGATAAACAGCAGCTGTGTTGTGTTGGTGTAGAGAAGAAGAAAGCAGCAGCATTGTTCTTTAAACATCTTGAAGCTGCATTTTCACATTGTTTCTTTGCATGATTGATTCGTAGATGATTGACAGCAACAGGCTGCAGCAAAACATTTTAAAACAGATAGATCTTGCTGTTTTAAAACTGTTTTGACAGTAATAAGAAGACAGCAACAGCAGGTTGATTTGAGTTTATGCATTTCATTTTGACAGCTTCATTCAAGTCTGTTTTGATAGCAACTAAGTAGCAGCAACAGTTTAGCTTGCTGATTTGTTCTTGATTTTTGACAGCAACTGCATTGCGACAGCTACAACATAAACAACTTTGCTGTTTTAAAACTGTCTAACAGCAGTAACTTCAAAACAGAACAGCAGAAACTAGCATTAACAGTCTTAGCAATAACAGCTGTTTTTGTGCAGTAACAGCTGTTTACAGATCTTGACAGCAGCAGACTTGGTTGTTTAAGCAATAACAAGAACAACAGTAGCAACAGATTGCAAGTCTTAGCAACAGATTTGAAACAGCAGCATGTTGATCCAATACAGTGCTCACAACAGTCTGTGCAGATTGAAGAAGCAGCAACATTGCAGCACGTTTGGAATTTCAAGTTGAGATCACAGACTTGCAGGTTTACAACATAACAGCAGACTGCCGGAATCTGTTAAAATCTGTTGGTGTGAAGACTGCAGTAGACAGCAGAAAAGAAAGAAGCAGTAGTACTTCAAAGTACACTTTGAAAGTTTTTCAAGCATAGCTAGGATTGGTTTTGGATAGTTTAACAGATTTGAAAGACTGTTGATTTGGTTTTGCTTTCGGGGACTAAGTTCACCTTTACAGAAGCACACAGCATTCAAGTGGATTTTTGAATACACTTCAGAGAGCAGATAGATCATTTTTTTTAGTGTAATATCTGTATTGTATTTGGGCTTGGATTGGTGTCATTTGGACTTAGACTCATAATTTTGGACTTGAATTTTTTAAAACTGTTTTTTAGTTTCTTAGATTGTTTGTGTTTAGATTTTCTTTTGGATCATAGTACATTTGTTTTTGCGTGTGTTTTTCAGTGTTTGTGTTTTTCTGTTCTTTTTGAGTTTAACTGTTCGTATTTTTTATCTGATTTCACTGCATAGATTCTTAACTGATCAATCTAATTTTGAAATGGCAGTTGTATCTGAATACTTCAGAGGGATAATTTTTGCTCTAGAAAAGAGAGTTGAAGGTTATAAGGAGGAAGTGTTTCTAAATGTTTTAAAGAAACATTATAAAGACGAGTGTGAACGTATGGAGAAGGCATTTGAGTCTAGGTTTGAAGAACTCGCGTACAATATTCGTTACGTAGAAAATGATTTCACTGATAACCTGATGTCTTGGAATAAAGTGAATAAACTTACTTTTAATAAACTCAAAGAGGTTAAAAGTGCATATTTCATTAAGAAGAACTCTTCAAGGAGCAATTCAGATATCAGGGATTTCTCTGAGAAGTTCCACAAGTCTGAGAATGAGCTGAATGAGTTAAGGAGTTATTTGGCATTAGAAAAGGAAAAGGTTTCACAAGCTGAAAAGATTTTAAAAAATGAAAGGAATGAGATGGAAATAGAAAAGAAGAGAATTATCGAAGTTGAAAGGAAGTTTGGAGCTGAACGAGAATCTTACGAGAAGAAGATTAACTCTCTCGAGCTGAACGCCAAGATGCTTCTAAAGCAAATCTCGGATTTTGAGCAGCTTATTGTTTTGGAAAGAGAGAAACATACTAAAGAAAAGACAGACATCTCCGAAGACTGTCAGAGCCAGCTTCAGAAACTGTCTAAAAGCATCGATCTAAAGCAAAAGGCTTTGGATGAAGAGAAAAAGCAATTTGCTWCAGAGAAAAGAAATACTTCAAAGAAGTATACAGCAATTGCAAGAGAGCTTACTGAGAAGCGGAAATGGCTTGACATTGCTATGGAGAATGACAAGAGCAGCTCAGATGAAGAGAAGAGAGAGTTGCTAAATCAGAACAAACAGTTTGAAATACTTCAGAAGGAGTTAGAAGGTAAACTCCTGGATACTTCAAAGAAATTGTCTGATCTTAAGACAGACCTTGAAACTGAACTGAACATGAGAACTGAACTGAAAATTAAATATGATTTAGTTACTGTAGAACAAGACCAGCTTTTACAAAGAGTCAAAGACTTTTCTTGTGCTAAAAGCTCAACTGGTTCTCCTTCTCAGTGTAAAACCAGCTTTTATAAWTGTTCATATTCGAACAGTTATTCAAGCAGTCCTAAATCTAATGTTTCTAAGAACTATTCTCGTTCTAATCAGTACTATCAAGGGTATGTCATTGGATCACC